CCGTGGCAGGCCCTGACTCCTTGTGGGCAGAGGCGCCTTCATAGCAGCAGCCCCTGCTGGTTGTGGGCCCTGGCGCTGCATGGACAGAGGCTGCTTCATGCAGCAGCCCCTGCTGGCAGTGGTCCCTGGCTCACCACAGACAGAAGCTGCTGCTCTTTGGGATGCAGCCTGGGCCCTCTGAAGACAGAGGCTGGTTCCCAGAAGCAGCCCCTGTCTTCAGGGTTCTGAACTTCCCACAGACAGAACTATAGAACAGAATATAGAACAGTCGACTAACCAGTAAGAATTCATGCGGTTAGTCGACTATTTTATTACTCATTATCTAACATCCCTAGTCTCAGTGCATGTGGTGATGTCTTCTGTTGGTGGTTACAGAAATTACAAAATTCTCTTTTAGCTCACTGTAAAGTGAATTTGAATTATAACTTCAATGTTGCTACTAATTTTAATCCAGTCCACACACAAAAATCCTTATTTGGAGCGTGGTGATGTTTTTAATTTGAACTGACTAGCACATCAGAGGTTATAGTCTAGAGCTGCAGGTAAAACAATTCATCAGTGTTTCACAACCACTTTGCAATATGGACCTAATCTGGCACCACTTGTGGGCTGCTAGTTTTCCAATGCCTTCTGGCAATCCCCTTGATAGGACAGACAAGCTGTCCCACAGTACATTCAAAAAAGGATTCATAGAGAAGTTCGGCTTACTGCTGCACAAAGAACCATGTGATATACCCCCAAAGTCTTTTTGCCGCACATGAGTGAGGTAGGGTTACTAACTGTCTAATTATGCAAGCCCAAAGACCCTTGCCCCACCCCTGTCCTGTCCCTTCTCCAATGCCCTGACCCCTGCTCACTCCTTTCCCTTTTCCTCTGTTGCTTACTCTCACCCACCCTCACTCACTTTCACCAAGCTGTGCCAAGGGGTTGGAGCATGCAATATCTGGGAGGGAGTTTGCGTGTGGGAGGATATGAGGAGTCAGACTCTGGGAGGGAGTTTGGGTGTGAGGTGCAGGCTCTGGGCTGGGAGGGAGGGTTGGAATTCAGGAGGGTGTTTGGACTGTAGAAAGGAGTTTGAGTGTGGACTCTGAGCAGGGGGTTAGGGTGTGGGAGAAGGATGGCACTTACCCCAGGCAGCTCCCAAAAGTGATCAGCACATCCCTCTGACAGTGGCTTCTAGGCAGGGGGGTCATGGGATCTCTGTGTGCTACTGAGTATAAGGAAAGTCTGTCTTAGCTCTGCTGCCATGCCAGACTGTTCATGATCAAAATCTCTGTGTGGCTGAATTAGCCTCTGGGAAGTAGGGCATGATTCTGGGATGTTCCCAGTGAAAGTGGGAATGTTGGCAGGTCAGCATCTGCAGTGTTATGTAGTAGTGTTGGTACTCTCTCTCAAGTCAGGTTAACTTGAGAGAACTAAGGGCACATATATACTGCAGAGCAAAAGTCGAATATTGAGCTATGTCAATTGCATAGCTTAAGTCAAAATAGCTTATTTTGGCTTTTGATGCTGTCTACACAGCAGGAAGTCTGAGGAAGAGCACTCTTTCTTCGACTTCTCTTACTCTTCATAAAATGTGGGTTACAGGAGTCGAAGTAAGAAGTCATTCAGCTCAACATTATTTCAAAATAAGGACTGCTATGTAGATTACATAGCAGCCATGTTATTTCAAAATATCAGTTTTTCCGAAATAACACTGCTGTGTAGCTGTACCTTAACTCGACTGTAGATAACCTGAGTTAACTCTACAGTGAAGGCCTGTTTTAGATGCTGAAAGTCCTGTTTTTGACCACTGCTAAGATCTTCACATGTAAGGCCACAGTTCATATTACTTAAACTGATACTCTTCCTCTGATTTCTAACATTGCTCATACAATTGCAAACCTAAATTGTACCTGCAGTTACCACAATTCATGTGCAAATTGGGCATTTACGTGGAAATACCGATGAGGAACTTATATTGTTTGAATGCAAATAACTATTTATATACACAATTGCTGAAATTTTATCCTCCAATTATGCAATTTTAAGGACATTTTTTTGTATGCTTTGGACTTCTGCCCTGTGGAAATCTGTCCCTAAGTATTTATTAATATTTATACTACTGAACAGTAAAATGTTTTTAAAAGACAATGGATTTATGAATTTGTCAGGGAAACAAAATTGAAAATGAGACTACTGGGTGTCCCTGCTATAAGTCGCCCCAGTATACATCCGTTCTGCACTAAAGTCATTGACACATGTAGGAACTGATGCATTACAAGTCCTCCCATTCACTGCTCTTAAGTCTCACAAAAAATCCAACTAATTTGCGGTAATGGAAGTCAGCCGTGGGAAAAAAATTCCCCACTTTAAGTTGTTTTACTATAGGTCCAAGTTTTTTGGAATGTATCTTGGACTTATAGTGAAGACGGCCTGTAACCAGACTGTAGACAGCATACTTTTTTTTATAACATAAAATGCTGAAGTTCTTACTCTTTATTTGGCCAGAACTCCCGGGATATTCAAAAAGTGGTTCATTGAAGTGAAGAGTAAGGCTTTTGGAAGTGGCCCATGGAGAGAATAAGTTTAAAATTTCCTAGCAACAATCACAAACATTTGATTTAAATGGTTACTGTCCAAATAATATTTTTTTTAAAATTTTTGAAGCTTAAGCAGTCTTGTAAAGTCCTCTGAAAATGGCAATGGAGTGACCTTCCGATCTGGAGCGGATGTGAGTATGGACATCGGTGTGTCTGGTTTTGGAGCTGATTCTGCTATAGACAAAGCAATGCAGATGGTATGACTTAATTCTAAAATCATCTTTTAACATTTTCCCTTGTTTTGTGGCTGTTTTGTGTGACAAATGGAAGCATCTTTTGTAAAAAGACAATGAGATTATAAATTCACTATAAACCAAGAAGTGAATATTGAATTAGATTTCTCTAAAGAAGTGAAAACAAAGTCTGTTCTCTAAGATAATATTTCTCAGGATTTATGTGTCAGAAATTAAATTAATCACTCCGAAAGTACTTCAACATATGATCAGGGAATGAATGGGCACTTCAGTCCTGTAATTCTGCAGATATTACTAGATCTCCCTGCAAAGGTCTTTGTATACTCAGGCATGTCATGGAACAAGTCAAAATATGCAAGTTATAAAGGACTCCACCTTCCTTTCGCAGTAATATTATACATAACTGAAATTCAGACATAATATTCAGAACCAGTTACAGGAAATGTGACTTTGTGGAGCAAATTGTTAACTTTTGGAATTCACTGATGTTTCTGTCAGTTTTTGAGACATGTTAGATTTTATCCAGGCCAACATATTTCCATGTCTGAGAGATAGCACCACTGTTTGAGGCTTACATGGTAAAACTATGAATTGCTCCCTGTGGGTCCCTCTACCAGCAAGCAGAACCCTGTCTGGGCTCACTTCCTGCCTTTGCTTACCAGTTCCCCTTTGGCTCTCTGTTGCAGATGTAAAAAGTCCAGATTCAGCTTTTTAAACTTCTCACCCCAGGTTTGACACTTGCTGCAGATGTGAGACTGATTGTACCCACAGTCTCTCATTTTCCTGCAGGCCCAGTGTGGGGTTGGTACATCCGAACATAGAGCAGAGCTTGTTAACTGCTGACACAGTGAGTCTGTTGTGTGAACTCAGGCTTATGTACTGCCGCTCCTCCTGTGCCTTTCACAAATGCCCTGTCCCCGTGCCCAGAAAGGACAGGTAGCTACTAAGTATGGGTATGGCTACACTAGCCACCCTATTTGGAACTAGGGTGGCTATTGTAGTCATTTGAACTTACAAATGAAGCCTGGGATTTAAATATCCCGGGCTTCATTTGCATGTTCCCAGGCGCCGCCATTTTTAAATGCCCGGTAGCTCGAACTACCTGCCCTTGGCTACACGTGGCACGGGCTAGGTAGTTCGAATTAACACTCTTGAGGAGTAACAGTAGTTCGAATTAAGAGTGTTAATTTGAACTACCTAGCCCGTGCCGCATGTAACCGCGGGCAGGTAGTTCGAGCTACCGGACATTTAAAAATGGCGGTGCCCGGGAACATGCAATAGAAGCCCGGGATATTTTAATCCCGGGCTTCATTTGCAACTTCGAATGACTACATTAACCACCCTAGTTCGAACTAGGGAGGCTAGTGTAGCCATACCCTATGGGTGATGGTGGAAGGGAGGGAGGGAGGAAGAAAGGAAAGGAGGGGTCATTGGCAGTCAGTGTCATTTAAGAGAGACCTTCACGTTGCTCTAGACTAGCCCAGCACTCAGTTAGCCAGACATTAAACTCTTTCTGTCAGCATCTTTATCCATCTTCACAGAGCACCACAGCCACTGCTCAGGTCTGGCACAGAAAGTGTGAAGCAGCTTCAATATGTTTATGCAAAATGATTTATTTCTAACATAATTCATAGGTTTTTAAATGATCAAAAGAAAAACATAACAATCTCCCTAATGAGATACTGTGAATTGATCCCATTCTTTAGTATTTCAGATACCAATGATTAATTTGTATGTTATGTTGTAGCCTCTACAGTGAAACACCTGTGTTGGTATTATGCTTCCTTTGACATTTCCTTGCTATTGAAGGCTTGATTTATGGAAATCTTCCTTCTTCTTTGAGTGGTCCCCGTGGGTGCTCCACTCATGGTGTCAGGCTCGTCCCGGCGCCGCAGCTCGGAGGCTTTGCATAGCTGTTTTCAGCCGGGTCACGCCTGCGCAGTGTGCAGTATGCGCCATTCATGCTCTTTGATCTTCGCGTGCACCTGGCTTACCTGTCAGTTCCTCTCAATTGTCCCTGGCTGCAGATGGAGCTTCAATGTCTCTCATCCCTTCAGCAGTTCTCCTATCCCTCAGGGGATCTGTAATTAGTTAATTGTAAATAGTTAGCCCCTTTAGTTCACTGTTCTTCTCTTATCTAAACAAAACAAAACAAGAAGGAAAGAGTCTTGGTAGCTCTTTGTTGAAGCCATGGCTTCCTGCTGTCACTGACTAACAGCTAAGCCACAAGGGATTACCAAACAAGTTTTTCTTTAAGAAGAAAAGATTTAACCCAGTCATGCCAGGATCTTCAGGTTTTAAAAAGTGTGCCAATGCAGCAAGCCCATGCCAGTTTCGGATGGGCATTCAGCGTGTATACGCTGTTTAGGGGAGAACCACATCCCCCATAAATGTGGGCACTGCTCAAAAATGACAGCCCGCACTCACCGAGACAGGGAAATGCGCCTCAAAATTTGATCCTAACAAATAGGGAGGAACTGGTTCAGAATTTGAAAGTGGAAGGCAGCGTGGGTGAAAGTGATCATGAAATCATAGAGTTCACAATTCCAAGGCAGGTAGAAAGGAGAACAGCAAAACAGAAACAATGGATTTCAGGAAGGTGGATTTTGGTAAGCTTAGCTATTGGAGGGAGGGATAGCTCAGTGGTTTGAGCATTGACCTGCTAAACTCAGGGTTGTAAGTTCAATCCTTGTGGAGGCCATTTAGGGATTTGGGGCAAAAATTTGTCAGGGATGGTACTTGGTGCTGCTGTGAAAGCAGGGGACTGGATTCAATGACCTTTCAAGCCCTTCCAGATCTAGGAGATAGGCAATCTCCATTAATTTATAAAATTTTAATTTAAGGTCCCATGGGAATCAAGACTGAGGGGAAAAACAACTGAGGAGAGTTGGCAGTTTTTCAGAGGGACATTGTTAAGGGCCCAAAAGCAAGCTATTCCGCTGCATTGGAAAGCTAGAAAGTGTGGCAAAAGATTGCCTTGGCTTAACCACGAGATCTTGCATGATCTAAAAATAAAAAAGGAGTCATATAAAAAATGGAAAGTAGGACAAATTACAAAGGATGAATATAGGCAAACAACACAGGAATGCAGGAGCAAGATAAGAAAGGCAAAGGCATAAAATGAGCTCAAACTAGCTACAGGAATAAAGGGAAACAAGAAGACTTTTTATAAATACATTAGAAGCAAGAGGAAGACCAAGGACAGGGTAGACCCACTGGTCAGTGAGGAGGGAGAAACGGTAACAGGAAACTTGGAAATGGCAGAGATGCTTAATGACTTCTTTGTTTCGGTCTTCACCGAGAAGTCTGAAGGAATGCCTAACATAGTGAATGTGCTAGTGGGAAGGGGGTAGTTTTAGAAGATAAAATAAAAAAAGAACAAGTTTAAAAATCACCTAGAAAAGTTAGATGCCTGCAAGTCACCAGGGCCTGATGAAATGCATCCTAGAATACTCAAGGAGCTCATAGAGGAGGTATCTGAGCCTCTAGCTATCATCTTTGGAAAATCATGG